GTTCTACTTTGTTTCTCGGTTATTCTGGGTGTTCTCTTACAACTGGAGGGTTGATGAACTAATCCTGAGTAACAAACGGTTAAGCAGAGAAAGGAGGCTAAGCAGAGAAAGGAGGCTACGGCCCCGCGCTCCCCCACGGTCCGGGCTCTGGGGACCCTCCTGCCCTCCCTTCCGAAGAACCACAAAGCGAAGAACCACAAAGCGGAGTCCAGACGCGTTTGAGGGCCCGAGGCCTCCCGGCCCTGGTTTCTCTCCCGTTACACAATCGGGGCCTAAGGCTGCATCTGCGCTCAGTCCTCTGCAAGGAGGCGGATGGGGTCCCCCGGGGTCCGAGGAGGCAGAAGTGGGGCTCGGCACCTGATCAGACATATTGACGGCGGCTTCCCCCAGGTCTCCGCACGGTGGCGGCCTCGGGGCAGCAGAACCTCGCTCGCTCTGGCGTTTACAATCCCATCTCACTGTCCCACAGCTACTTTGCAAAAGATTTTTAATAAGATGAGCTCCCAGTTGTTGATTCTTTGTAATATTTCCTGTGCGATTGGGTTTTGTACATAAAGTCTTTGCCTAAACCACAGTCTTCGAGACTTCTACCTATTCTATCTTCCATCAGATTTAGTGTTTCTGTTTTCATATTTAGATCTTTGATTCACTTTTATTTTACTTTAGTACATGGTGAAAGATATGCGTCTAGTTTTAATCTTTAGCTTGTGGAAAGCCAGTTTTTCCAGCACCATTTATTAAAGAGGCTATCTTCCAGTGAAGCTGTTTGGCTTCTTTGTTAAAGATAAGGTAGCTGAGTATGTCTGGAGTTGTTTCTGCATCTTATAATCCGTTCCGTTGATCCTCAGGTCTGTTTTTTTGTTTTCTGGGTTTTTGGGGTTTTTTGCCAGTATTATGCTGTTTTTTTCATAGTAGCTTTGTAGTATAATTTCAAGTCAGGGATTGTGACGCCCCCTGCCTTGCCTGTGTTTTCCAGAATTGCCTTTGCTAGTCTAGGTCTCTTTTGGCTCCAAATGTATTTTAGGATTGTTTTCTCTAATTCTGTGAGATACGCTCTTGGAATTTTGATCAAGATTGTATTAAATCGGTATAATAATTTTCACTATATTTGGCCAAAGTATGGCCATTTTCAATAATTTGTTCTTCCTACTCAGGAACAAAGGATATCTTTCCATTTTCTGATATCCTCTTCGATCTCCATTTTCAGAATGCTGTAGTTTTCAATGTAGAGGTCTTTTAACTTCCTTTGTTACATTGATTTCTGAGTATTTCATTTTTGGAGGATGCTATTGTGAAAGGTGTTGTTTCCCTAATTTCTCTCTCAGTGAGTTTGTTATTTGTGTACAGGAAAGCTATTGATTTTTGAGTATTAACTTTGTATCCAGCTATGCTATTGAATTTGGTTATTAAATCTAGAAGTCTTTTGGTGGAGTTTTTGGGGTCTTCCATGTACAGTATCAAGTCATTTGTAAATAATGATAACTTCTTCCATTCTTGTCCTTCTTCCTTTTTTTTTTTTCCTCTTGTCTAATTGCTCTGGGTAGTGTTTCCAGAACTATATTGAATAAGAGTGGTGATAGTGGACATCCTAGTCTGGTTCCTGATTTTAGAGTGAAAGCTTTCAATTTGTCCATTTAGTATGATATTGGCTGTTGGTTTGTCAGATGGCTTTTATCAGATTGAGATTAAGACCATCATGGGCTGGGGATTTAGCTCAGTGGTTCTGCCACCTGCCTCACAAGCACAAGGTCCCGAATTCGATCCCTGGTACCAAAAACAAAACAAAACAAAAAAAACAAGCGATAAAGACCATCTATTTCAATTTTCTGTAGGGTTTTTATCGTGAATGGGTATTGGACCTTGTCAAACACTTTTTCTGCATCTGTTGAGATGATCATATGGTTTTGTCCTTGGGTCTGATAATATAGTGTATTATGTTTATTGATTTGGATATGTTGAACCATCCCTGCATCCTTGGGATGACTCCTACTTGGTCATGGTGTATTACCTTCTTGATGATTTGCTGCATTTTGTTCACCATTATTTTATTGAGGAGTTTTGAGTCTATGTTCATTAGGGAGATTGGCCTGAGGTTCTCTTTTTTGGTTGGATCCTTCTCTGGCTTTGGTATCAGAGTAATGCTTCCATTTCAATTTCATTAAAGAGTTTGAGAAATAGCGGCATTAGGCCTTCTCTAAAGTTCTTGTAGAATTCAGCAGTGAATCTGTCAGGGCCTGGGCTTTTTTTGTTGGTAGGTTTTTAATTACATGTTCGGTTTCATTGACTGATACTGGTTCATTTAGAATTTTCATATCTTCCTGATTCAGCTTTGATAATTCCTATGTAACCAGGAATCTGTCCATTTCTTCTGTGTTTTCCACCTTATTAGAATATTGGTTCTTGAAGTAGGTATTAGTGATCTTCTGGATTTCTACAGGATCTATTGTGATTTCACCCTTTTCATTCCTAATTGCATGGATGTGAATGTTTTCTTTCCTTTTTTTTTTTTTTTGGATATCGGGGATCGAACTCAGGACCTTACACTTGCGAGGCAGGCGGCAGCACCACTGGGCTAAATCCCCAGCCAGCCATAATAGTTTGATACTAAGCTTTGTGGTATATTTTGAAAATAAGTAGTGTATTGCCTTTGGTCTTTTTACTCAACATTGCTTTGGCTTTTGGGGATTTTTCTGGTTCCTTATGAATTTAGGGTTGTTTTTTCTATATTGTGGAAAATGCCATTGGAGTTTTGATAAGGATTACATTGAATCTGAAGATCACTTTTGAGTAGTATGGACATTTTAACAATATTCTTCTAGTCCATGAAGCTTTTTGTTTTTATATGGGTTGTCTTCAGTTTCTTTCATCAGTGTTTTATAATTTTCAGTGTGCAGATCTTTTACCTTCTTGGCTAAATATATTTGTAAATTATTTATATGTGTATTTATATTTTTGGTCATGAGGATTAACTCAGGGCCTCACATGTGCAAAGCATACACTTTACCACTGAGCTACACTACAGCCCCTAGTTTTACTTTTTAGATGCTATTGTGAAATTATTTGTCTCTCTCTCTCTTTTTTTTTTTTTTGTACCGGGGATCAAACTTAGGACCTTGCGCTTGCAATTTTTCCTTACTTTTTGAGATGGGGCTTCACTGGTCTCAAGCTTGTGGACTCAAGGCATCCTCCTGCTTCAGCTTCCCAAGTATCTGGGACTACAGATGATTTGTTTTCTTGAGTTCTTTTTCATATAGTTCATTGTTAGTATATACAAATGCTACTGATTTTCATAATTTAATCGATCTTTTCTGTGCTCTGATATTTCTTATTTTTTCCTTCTGACTTTCAGCTTAATTTCTTGAGGTGTAAAGTTAGGTTATTTATTTGAGGTCTTTTTTGCTTAACATAGACATTTATTGCTGTAGACCCCTCTTAACATTGCTTTTGCTATATCCCATAAGTTTGAGTATATTCTGTTTCCGTTTTTATTTGTCTTAAGATGATTTCTGATTCTTCTTTGACCCATTGGTTATTTAGTAGTGTGTTGCTTAATTTCCACATATTTGCTGGCCATGGTGGTGCATGCCTGTAATCCCAGCACTTGGAAGGCTGAGGCAGGAGGATCTCAGTGAGTTCAGGGCCAACCTGTGCTACATAGTGAGTTTAATGTTTGTTTGATTGATTGATTGATTGATTGATTGATTTTTGAGAATAAGCAATCATACATGGGGATTTGAAATTTTGTGTGCAAAAAAATAAATAAATAAAGTAATCCCTGTCACTACCTCTACTTAATCATATCACTTGTTAGCAGTTTCTCATTGCTTTTAGGGTTAAATCCGGAGTCCTGAATATGACCCACCAGACCCTGCGTGATCTGGCTCTGTCTGCCTCTCTGGCCTTGCTTCTTCAGTGGTTTCTGGGTTCTAGTCACAGTGGCCCTTTTTCTCTTTGTATGTTATTCCCCCGGCCAGAAAATCCCTCACCTGTTTTCTGTTTGTTTTTTGTTTTTTTATTGTTGTTATTGTTTTTGGTACTGGGGATCGAACTCAGGACCTTGAGCTTGTGAAGCAGGTGCGGTGCCACTGAGCTAAATCCCCGGCCCCCCTCACCTGTTTTCTTTTGCCTCTTTTCATTATATCAGAGCTCTGATGTCACTTCTTTAGGAGAACTTTCCTTGACCTTACCTGCGGGCAGGGGCGTCATGTATTCTCATAGGACAAAGACACTACTACTCCATATACTTGTCACATGATGATACATTTTTTGTATGCTGGTTTAATATATCCCATTAGACCATAAGATCTTCAAGGGCGGGAGAATGTCTGTTCCTCAAGACATAGCGCAGTAGTTGGCAAATAATAGACATTCATCATACTGTCATCCCTCAGTAGCTGGGAGTTTGGTTCCAGGACCCCTGCAGATACCAGAATTGTCAATGGCTCAAATTCCTTATATAAAATGGCGCAGTGTCTCCATGTAACCTTTGCAGCCCTCCTGTATACTTTTAAATCATCTCTAGATTACTTTATAATACCTAATACAATGTAAATAGTTGTTATACTATGTATTACTTTAGGAATAATGAATAGGGGAAAATATAAACATGTCCAGTTCAGAAATCATTTTTTTTCTGAATATTTTTGATCTGAGATTGGTTGAATCTCCAGATGGATTAAGTTGTATATTTAAATGTATTGGTCAACTGTATATTTAAATGAATGAACATTTAGTTGAGTGGTTATAGAATACCATATTCTTACTGTCGTTCCCAGTTTTTACCTCCTTTAACTCTTTGGGCTTCCTCACAAGTTAGCATTTAAAGAGAGTTTATGGTTATAAATGCTGAAAGTTCTGCACTGTGCCAGGCTGCCTTCTGCTCGTGTTGCCTTAGCTCATAGGAAGTGGACTTTCAGGAATTGTCCCCTGACTTTGTCCTGAGACAACTAGTTTCTGTCTTGGCTTAGGTTTACTTTCTCCTTTGCTTTCTGTCCTCAAAGGTGGACTGACTCAGGACCTGAAAGCTGCCTTCAGCTGCTTTCTGATGGCGTGTGAGAAGCCTGGCAAGAAGTCTGTGGAAGCCTGTCACAATGTCGGTCTCCTGACTCACAGCGGAAAGGTCAATGAGGATGGCCAGCCCGACCTGGGGAAGGCCAGGGACTACTACGCAAAGGCCTGTGATGGCGGCTTTGCCCCCAGCTGCTTCAATCTCAGTGCCATGCTCCTGCAGGGTGCTCCTGGCTTCCCCAAGGACATGGCCCTGGCTTGTAAATACTCGATGAAAGCCTGTGACCTGGGCCATATCTGGGGCTGTGTCAATGCCAGTCGCATGTACAAGCTGGGGGATGGTGTTGATAAGGATGAGGCGAAGGCCGAAGTGCTAAAAGATCGGGCCCGGCAGCTGCACAAAGAACAGCAGAAAAGTGTTCAGCCCTTAACATTTGGGTGATGTAGCTCATCCTGCTCCCCAGGCAGCAGTTTGAGGCTGGCACCTTGTTTGAGACCTGATGCAGCCCTTGACAGATAACCTCCTGGAGCAGAACTTGGGACTTGATTTCAGCAGCTGATTACGTAGATCTACTTATCCCAGAGTGTCACCTACTAGGATGTGGCCTGCAGTGCGTATTTCAGTCAATAATCCTTTATCTGGTTGAATTCTGTGAAGAAAACCAAATTTATGGAGTCTTAATTTTCACACTCTTGCAGCTCTGTCAAAAGTAGCAGCAAATTAGAGTGCAATAGAAATTTGGGTAGTGAGGAGACAAATAGCAGAAAGCTGGAAAAATTAGCAGCCACAAGCCGTGAAGAAATCAGACACCATATTCATTATTAGTATTATTTTAGCTGAAAGGCTTGAAAATCAGAAAGTATCTTGGTTTATGTAATATAAGTTTTAAGGAGCTAAGAACAGTTAAATAGTCACAACTGCTACCCTCTGATTTATGTAATTATTGGTGTGGGCTTTTTCAATCTTCCTATAAATTCATAGAGATCAGGAGGGATATGTAACATAAAAGGTTAAAGGTGGTTATACGTCAGGGTTGCTGAAGAAGATGAAGCATAAGCCTGCCTTCTAGAAGGTAGTCACAGTTAAAATTAGCATCTCTGCCAGGTGTAATGGCACACACCTGTAATCCTAGCACTTGGAGGCCGAGGTAGGAGGATTGCTGTGAGTTCAAGGCCAGCCTGGACTACATAGACCTCATCTCAAAAAAAAAAAAAAAAAAGCAGAAAACAATTAGCATTTCCAGGGCATTCACCTGGCACTGGTCCTCATGCTGAGGAGACATTATTCCCAGAACAACTCAAGCTAGGAGTTTGTAAAGAGATTTTGTGACATGTCCCACTGGAACTGAACTTTTTTTTTTAGCTGTTGCTATGAATAAACCATTTTGATTGGTTTGTAGCTTGTTTGATTAGTGGTCTCTCCAGAGTCTTAAGTAAGGTAGAGTATGTTCTTCATGGTGTCTGTGCCTTTTCTTGTAGGAATATTTGCTTTTTCTATTATCTCCTAACTTGTCACCAGGGGGCAAGCTTGCCATTTTCATGCTGATAACAGGACCGTTACATGTATCACTACCTACAGTTTTCAGCTTTGCAGCTGTCCTAGAAGGAAGGCATGCCTTCAGAAGGTTTGCAAACGCAGCCATCCAGCTTCTCAAGTTGGTAGAGGAGAGGGACTTTCCTAAATGTAGGTGTCACTGGCTCAGGTTTCTGTGTTTCCCAAACTTAACCCACCCCACTGTCGCAGGCTTGCTGACTCCCATTGCGGAAAAAGAATTTTCAGGATATGCCAGAAAAATGAGTAGGGTTTATTAGACAAAGGCAAAGAGTATAGTACACACTGAGCAAAAGTATTAGAGAGCAAAAGCACAAAGCAGCCTTTATTGAAATGTGAAAGCAAACAGCCCTCAGGTTGTTGAACCTGGGAGAGGACCTGAATAGGTTGCTAAAGGGACTCCCAGTTTAGGGTTTTTATATTTAAAAAAAAATGACTGTGTTGCTGAAATTATCAGTATAAGCACAACAAAGGTATTCTTTAGAGGGGCATGAATATCTCATTTCTGAGTAAGAAAATCCTGCCAATCCAGTGAGGCCTTTGTTTGTTGAGCCTCCAGGTGCCCTGGCCTCGGTTATCCACATGTCCTTCACTGAAGCCTTCTGACTCCGTCTTTGGCTTTGCCTTTTCCTGGCTGCCTGTAACTCCCTTTGCCAGAACTCTGATTGTCCTCAGCACGTACACAAACTGATTGTTTAGATTTCTGTTGGGAGCCTCTTGTTAGGTTAGAAAATGCTACCTAGACCTTAGAGAATGGAACCTAAGCTCAACCGCACCTGCAGAAGTCAGAGGTCTTGCGGTTCATTCTCCCCAGGTCTGTCGCTTTCGGCCAACTGTTAACATTGGAGCTGTCCTTATCTCGGCCAGGTTCCTGTACCTATCTTTCTCAATTAAGTCAATTTATGACCTTGGGTAACTTCAGTTGTGTCCTGGAAGTTGCAGTCTTCTTACAAAGTACAATTGTTGTAATTTCCTTGTCTCCTTTTATTTCTTATATCCTACTTTATAGTGAAAGGTTTTAAGAGATATCAAGCTTATTTGTAAAATGTAAGTACCTTTTTGTATGCTTTAACCTTTATAGGCCAAAAGGCATATGAAACAATGCTTAAATTTACAAATTATATGGGAATTGTACATCAAAACCACAGTGAACTCTTAAAACTCAACCATAAGAAAACAAACAGCTTGATTTAAAATGGGCCAAAGACCTTGGTAGACACCTCAACAAAGAAGATGTACAAGAAGTAGAGCACTTGCCTAGCATGTAGCAGGGCTCAAGTTCCCTCAGTATTCTAAAAAAAGATATACGGGTGACAAGCATGAAAAGATACCCCATATGACATGTCATCAGGAAAATGGAAATTAAAACAACAAGACCACTAGACATTTCCTAGAATTGTCAAAACCCAGAACACTGAACAACATCAAATGCAGGCAGTGATGTGGAGCAATGAGAACTCTCGTTGCTGATGAGAATCCAAGGTGGTGCTGCCACTTCAGTGGAAGATAGTTCAGCACAGTATCTCACAAAACTAAGCATCTTCTTAACAATGTGTTCCAGCCATCTCTGGTATTTACCCAAAGGAATGCAAAATGTCCACACAAAAACTAGTACATGAATATTTATAGCAGTTTTAGAATTGCCAAAACGTGGAAGCAACCAAGATGTTCTTAAGTAGCTGAAAGGTAAAGTGTGGTACATGCAGACAATGAACTATTCAGGGCTAAAAAGAAATGAGTTAGCCATGAAAAGACAAGAATGTTACCAAGTGAAAGAAGCCAATCTGAAAATGACATTCTACATGAATCCAACTTTCTGACACTGGTATCTATTCTGAAAAAGCAAAACTATGGAGATAACATCATAGGGTAGGGGCTGGGGATGTGGCCTGATGGTTGAGCACTTGCCTAGTACACATGAGTCCTTGGGTTTCATCCCCAGCACCACAAAGGAAAAAGCACAGATAAAGGATTAGATGGGAAGAAAGGATGAATAGGTCACAGGTTTTTAGGGTAGAAAAACTGCTGTGTATAGTACTGTATTGGTGGATATATGTCACACGTTTGCCCAAACCTAAAATACCTAATACCAAGAAGGAGCCCTTCTTGATGTTCATGGACTTAGGGTTGTAATGATGTGTCAGTATGATACAGGGATGATACAGGAGATAAAATAAGACCTCCAAATGTTATAAGGGAAATATAATTCCCAACCAGTTAGATGTCTGATCTGATAAACCAAGTTCATGTTCTCTAAAATGGATGAATGAATTCTAGGAACAACAGAGGTTAAGAATAGAAAATATTTATTGAGAGGATAGCTTCTCAGAGGCAGGAGGAGTCATAAATGGGTAGCTGAGGACCCTACTTTACAGGGAAGTTTTACAGAGCAAAAACCATGTGGTTACAACATGGGTTAAAGCGACAACCAATAAGGTTACAAGTATAGTCTCATAGGTGATAGTGATCCAGTGGGACACAAGTCATGCAACAAATGTGCATGGAAAGAACAAAGACTTTTTCTAGGAAATGATGGGTCTGGAGGTTTTGGTCCCCCACTAGGGTGACTGATGTTTATCTAGCTTTCATTAGGCCGGATGTTACTGCTTATCTTGTCCTTTGGGAAAGTATGCTGGCCTGGTCATTTCTTCTTCATCTTGAGGCCTGGTCTCTAATGGATGCATCTCTGACCATGGTTGTAATGTGTTTGACCTTTGTCCTCACTCAAGGGCCTAGCCCTATCTGACTGCCTATAGTATTTCTACCTAACTTAGCTGTTTATAATAAGTATGGGTTCATCAGTTATAACAACTTGATAATGAGGAGTCCATTCATATGTGGGCCAGGTTTTCCATATGTGGGAAATCTGCCTTCTAGTCAACTTAGCTATGAATTTAAAACTGCTCTTAGAAAATAACATAATTTAAAACAAAATCACAATGTGATACTGCCTCACACCCATTAAGATAACTGCTATTAAAAAAGATAAGGATGTAGAGAAATTGGAATCCTCATGAATTGTTATTGGAAATGTAAAATAGTGCAGCTGCTATGGAAAATATGGTGGTTCCTCAAAAAGTTAGAATTGCTGTATGATCCAGCGTTTCCACTTTTAGATATATATCTAAAAAAACAGGGCTGTGTCTCCAAAATATTTGTACATTCAGGTTTATAGCAACATTAAGATGGAAGTAACCCAAATAACCAAAGCAGATGCATGACTAAACAAAATGTAGTATGTATGTAGTATATTATTCAGCCATTAAAAGGAAGGAAAATCTGATACATACTACAACATGGATGGGCCTTGAGGACATTATGCTAAGTGAAATAAGCCAGTCATGAAAAGACATGCTGCAAAGATGGTTTCTAAACATGTATGAGTCCTGTGAACTCTAGAATGGTAATTGCTAGGGGCAGAGATGAGGGGATTATGGGGAATTGTTAGAGTTTCACATTTGTAAGATGAAAAATTCTGGAATTGGTTGCACAACAATGTAAAAAAACTTTTGTGTTTTTTTTTTGGTACCGGGGATCAAACTTGGGTCCTTGTGCTTGCACAGCAGAAAAATACTTAAAACTACTGAGCTGTGGCTTTAAAATGGTTGAAATGGTAAGTTTTGAGTGTCTTTTACTATTATTTTTTAAAATGTAACATTTGAAGTTTTTAAAAATAGTAGTGTGTTCTCATGAAATGCAGTTTGGAATATAGAAGGTACCATTACCCCTAGCTTCATTGCCTATAGACATTTTTTGTCACAATTTTTTGTTGTTGTTGTTATTTGTTTTGTTGTACTGGGATTTAACTCAGGGGTGAGTTACCACTGATACATCCCCATCCCCAGCCCTTTTTATTTATTTTAAGACAGGGTCTTCCTAAGATGTCCAGACTGGCCTCAAATTTATAGTCCTTCTGTCTCAGCCTCCTGAGTAGCTGGGATTACAGGTGTGTGCCACCATGACCAACTAATTTTTTTAATCACATTTTTAATTAAATGAGATTTTTGATTTTGAAGAATGGGTGTACTTGGTTATTGGGTGAAAGGTGTGCTGAGTTTTTTCTCTCTTTTTTATGGATGTGTTTCTGCCAAGGACCTTGGATACTTGCCTTCCCAAGTCACATGCTGAGAAGGGGCTGTGAACAATGGAAGGAGCATTATCTGTCAAAATGTTATTTCACACAAGTTACCAAAATGCAAGGAATAATTATTTACTGTCTAGAGGGGTCCAAGGCCATTTCATCTCTAGGCTAGAGGGAGGCAGTAGGTTGATTTAAGAGCCAGCGTGGATGAGTTACTGACTTTTGTGCAGCCTTTGAAGTAAGGCTTGAAAAGGGCTTTTCAGACTCTGGTCATAGCCAGCGGTATCATCACTGTGCCTTCCGGCCCGCAGGCATTTGAGTCATCATGAATAACTATTTCCTACGTTTGTGTTCTAGGCCTCGCTTAGATACAGGAACTTCAGATAGGGCCTGGTGATGTAACGGGGAAGAAGATTCATAATAGACTAGTGGCTTCTGTTCTTACTAAAACCTGGGAGTACAGTGCTCAGTGCAGTGAGAAAGGGAAGCAGGAGTCCCTTTCCTCCCTCTCTAGTGAGGGACTTGGGTTTTATCTTGCAGGGAATGCAGAGTTCTGAGCAGGAGAATGAAATGATCATCCAGTGCAGAAAACAGGGCAACGAGACCCATTAGGAGACTGCTCCAGAATGTGAAGATGAGACGTGGGGTTGGGCTCAGAAGTAGCAGCAGCGAGAGGGGATGGGGTGAGAAATGAGGCAGCCAAATGAGTAAAATTTAGCCATGTAAAAGGCAGCGAAGAGTTGGGTCAAGCATGAGATTAAACAAA